CTCCTAGACCCATGTCTCTGCTCTCCTCCCCCTGGGGGAGTGACCTCAGGTTATGGGACCTCTGAGTCTCAGGCTCCCCTCTGAAAATGCCTAGGAATTAGGTTGTTATGAAGATTAAAAGCGTGACAAGTTCTTAGCACAGTGGCTGGTACACAAGAAGGGTTCAGTAAACACCGGCTTTCAGCCCTCACTGCTGCGACTGTTCTGACTTAACCCAGATCACGCAGTGTGTGGGATGCTATTGAGGTGGGTCCACCAATCCTGGTCTCTACCCTGCCTTCACTCCCTCAGCTAAAACATCTTTGCCTCTGCACCATGACCTAAGACCCTGGGCCTGGATGCTAATGACTCAGCTTTGCAGAGTTGAGAAATGCTTGCCTGGCAGAGCCTTCCATAGCCTCCAAGGGCCTTCTTCATGCTCCCAAAAGGTCAGCTTCCTGGCACATGGGGAAGGACAGAACAAACACGTGTTCATTTTCTGTTGCTGCCCCAAGGGGTTTATTTAAGAGAACTGGTTTCCTTCTGGCACCACAGATGAATGGACATGGACAACCTGGGGCCATGAGGGGTTGCCATACTGGAGTAGGATCAGAGAATCTTTCCAAGATGCACCCATGCCTCCCATGTTGGACGGGCAGGGAGGGTCCCTGTGTTCTCACTGCTGGATGGATTCACATGGAGACAGGGCCTAAGGACAAGGCTTCCTGGATGGGAGATCTGAGAGGTCCTGGCATACAGTGGGCTTGTCAGATAAATGATCAGAGGTGCCAATCATACCTATCTCATACTGTCGTGGTGGATATTAACTGAGGCAATGGGTGTACAGCACTTCACATGAGCAGCACCTGGCCCACAGTGGGCACTTAACAACACCAGTAGCTGCTACTGGTGGCTGCTCAGCTCCCTAACATTAGCCAAGAGCTGTAAACCCTACTTTGGGGCCCACACTTGAGTCCAGCCACTCCCTGACTGCCTCTCACCCTTTCTCTGGTCTCATCTTCCTCTCCCAGGAAAGATGCCTCAGGACTCCCTATCACCCATGCCCTGTCCTGACATCATTCTAGCATTCTCTAGAGAGTAAGGCAGGGTGCAGGAGGCCATAACAGAGGATAAAACCAAATGGTGTCAAGAAAATGCATCAATTAATTTGCTTCCAAATGTCCCAGGCTTTGAGACAGCCTGGCTTCCCAGTTGGCTGAAGCCCCCATCTTAGCCATGTATACCTACCTGTAAGGTGCCCAGGTGGGGATGGAGGTGGGGCTGCTGCCATAAGCCAAGGACCCTCACTGCTGAGACTCTTCTAACATCTGGACCCCAAAGAGTTTTAAGACTTACAGAGAGATTTCCTCTGTGCCCAACACCAGGGCAAGCTTTCCTGAAGTAGTCGCAATAGAGGAAACAGCCAACCTGGGCTCTGTGCCCGCTCATGATGCCTTTGATTCTCTTCATTTTTGTTTGTGCCTCTGGGATGGGACGAGATCAGCTGGTTTCACACATTTCTCAGAGGCCGAGCCCTTTTATCAGAATTAACTGCGCTGAGATGTGAGTTAGTATGTGAGTGAGGATCTGCCAGCCTCCATCTCCCTGCTGGTCCTGTTCTGTCCTGCACATCCCCATGTGAAGTGACTGTGGGCCTGGGGCTATGTGCCATACATCCTTGGCCCCCTGGGGGGAACATCAGCACTGGGCTCAGAGGATTGCAGACCCTGTCCTGGACACTTTCTATGCTGGGGTGCTGGGCTGAGACGCTCCTGAAGTGAGCTGCTCGGGCTCTGGGTGTGACACATGGTAGAGACCCCACCTCCATAGGCAGAGGGGTTACTAGGGAGAATCAGCCTGGACACCACCTGCCTGATCAGATGTCTAAGGGAGCAGGAAGGGCCCGTGGATCCAGCCCTTCCGTGACACACATAGGGAGCCTGAGGCACAGGAGGGGCAGTAACTTGCCTGAGGAGATGGAAATGAGGGTGGAGCCAGCTAAGAGTCCAGGCACTGTCTTCTATGACCCGAGCCCCAGCTTGTCCCTCCTTCTCTGCTACACAAAGCAAGTGTTTTTCCGTTCTTTGCACTCTCCTGCAGAACAGCCGCTCCCCCTCCCAGGAAAGATGCGAAAACTTTCCCAGAGTGGGGGAATGAGAGCTGCAGCAGTGGTGCGGAAGCGGCTCCCTGAACCAAGATGTGACGCTAAGGGAGGGCCCAGGGACAGGCCAGGGCAGGGCGCTGGGCTCTGGGATAAAACTCAGTCAGCTGGGGATGGCTTCATAGGCATGAGGCCTGTGCAGTCACAAGGGCCCACACTTGGCTTCATGCTCAGCTGTGGCCATTGCAAAATGTGTCATGAGTTTTGACCGAGGGCCCCTCCCTGTATTTTCATCTTGCGTTGGATACTGAACGTTACACAACTAGTTCTCGCTCAGCAGTCCCTAAGTGTACGACATTGAGTTAAGTATCTTAACCAGTGGGAACCTCAGTTTTCTTATCTGTAAAATGAAGATAATAACAGCACCTGCTTCCCAGAACTGCTATGAAGAGGGACTCAAAGAACATGCAGAACGCTTAGCAGGTGCCTGGCACGCAGCACTTCCCTAAGTGACGGTTGTTACTACTGCAGACAAAATAGGAATACAAGCCTGCCTCATTTTGTGGCACTTTACTTTATTGCATTCTCAAATAATGCATTCTTTTTACAAATTGAAGACTTCCAACCAACCCTGCATCAAGCAACTATCTCAGCACCATTTTTCCAACGTCATGTATTCCCTTTTGTGTCTGTCTCTGTCACCTGTTGGGGACCCTCTCAATATCTCAGGCTTTTTCATTGTCATTTTGTCTGTTTGGTGATGTGATCAGTGATCTTTGATGTTACTGTTTAATTGTTTAGAGATGTCACAAACAACACCCGTATAAAGCAGCGAACTTAATGGACAAATACTGTGTGTGCTGACTGCTCCATTCCCCCATCTTTTTTCCTCTCCTTGGGCCTCCCTATCCTCTAAGCCACAACAATATTGAAATCAAGCCAATGAGTAACCCTACAATGGCTTCTAAGTACTGAAGTGAAAGGAAGAGTCACATGTTTCTCACTTTAAATCAAAAGCTAGAAATGATTAAACAGTGAGGAAGGCACTTCAGAAGCTGAGCCAGACCCAAAGCCAGGCTCTGGCCTCTTGTGCAAAACAGGTAGCCAAGCTGTGACTGCAAAGAAACTGTTATTGAAGGAAATTAAAAGTGCTACTTCCATGAACACAGAAATGATAAAGTGAAACCGCCATAATCCTGATACAGAGAAAGTCTGTTCTAAATATAAAATCAAACATTTTTGCTGCAACATTTCTTTGAAGCCTAATCATAGCAAGGCCCTGACTCTTTTCAGTTCTATGAAGGCTGAGAGAGGTGGGGAAGCTACAGAAGAAAAGCTAGAAGCTAACAGAGGTTGGTTCATGAGGTTTAAGGAACAAAGCCCTCTCCATAACAGCAAAGTTCAAGGTGAAGCAGCAGGTGCTGATGGAGCAGCTGCAGCAAGTTATCAAGAAGATCCAGCTGAGATAACAGGTGAAGGTGGCTACACTCAACAACAGATTTTCAGTGTGTGTAAAACAGTCTCATCCTGGAAGCGGATGCCTTCCAGGATTTTCACAGCTAGGAAGGAGAAGTCATGTCTGACCTCAAAGCTTCCGAGGACAGGCTGACTCTCTTGTTAGGGGCTAAGATAGCAGGTGATTTAAATTGAAGCCAGTGCTCATTCTGAAAGTCCCGTGGCCCTTGAGAGTAATGCTGAATCTACTCTGCCTGTGCTCTAGAAAAGGAACACAAACCCTGGATGACAGCACATCTGTTTATAGAAGGGCTTATAGAATATTTTAAGTCCACTGTTGAGACTCTGTGCTCAGAAAAAAGATTTCTTTCAAAATATTACTGCTCATGGACAATGTACTCGGTTACCCAAGAGCTCTGATAAATACAAGGAGATTAATGTTTTCGTGCCTGTTAATACAAAATCCATCCTGCAACCCATGGATCAGGGAGCTGTTTTGACTTTCAAGTTGTATTACTCAAGGAAAACATTTCATAAGGCTACAGCTGCCATAAATAATGATTCCAGTGACGGATCTGAACAAGGTAAATTAAAAGCTTTCTGGAATAAATTCACCATTCTAGATGTTGTTAAAAACATTCACGCTTTATGGGGGAGGTCCAAATATCAACATTAACAGAGTTTGGAAAAAATTGATTCCAACCCTCGTGGAGTACTTTGAAGGTTTCAATACTTTGGTGGAAGAAGTCAGTGTAATTAGAAGAGTATAATTAGAATTGGAGCCTGAGGCGTGACTGAATTGCTGAGATCTCACAATAAAACTTCAGTGGATGAGGAGTCATGATGATTTGAATATTTCATAAACTTAGTTGACAAAGCAGTGTCAGGGTTTGAGACAATCGATTCCAATTCTGAAAGGAGTTCCACTGTGGGTAAAATGCCATCATAGGGCATCTCATGCTACAGAGAACTCCTTTGTGAAAGGAACAGTCAGTAAACGTGCCTAACTTCGTTATTGTCTTATTCTAAGACATTGCCACAGTCACCCCAACTTTCATCACCTACCACCCCAATCTGTCAGCAGCCATCAGTACCAAGGTAAGACCCTGTACCAGCAAAAAAGATTACTACCTGCTGAAGGCTTAGGTGATCATTAGCATTCTTTAGCAATCAAGTCTTTTTGATGAAGGTATGAACGTTGTTTCTTTAGACATAATGCTATTGCACACTTAACAGACCACAGTACAGTGTAAACGTGACTTTTACATGCACTGGAATACCACAAAATTCATGATAGTCTGGAACCAGACATGCAACATCTCCCAGGCGTAATTGTCATTACAGGCTGTTATGTGACAACAGGATACCCTGCTCCATAATAAAGATGTTAAGTACTTCCCAGGTCTGGCAAACCAGGAAAGGGTCACAGGTCCCCAGACACCAGGCTGCCCTACCAGCCTCTTACCTGCCTGAAAGGGCTGTGTCTGCATCTGCAGTCGGATCTTGATGAGGTCCACGGGTCCACCCAGCCCCACGGAGACCACGCCAGCCACCATGCTGGCCAGGAGCAGGTCTGGCAGCGTTCGGGGAGGGCTGGCCTCGGGCTCCCCACAGCGGTGCTGGCTGAGGAACCTCTGCGTGTTACTGAAGACCCCAAACACCACCGAGTTGTAGACAGCAATGCTGGCCAGGGGAAAGGACATTCCCTTGAAGAAGCCAAGCACCTATGGCGAAGCCCAGTAGAAGAGGCGTGAGGGCCCAGGGCTTCCTCTGGGGCTCTGCTTGCCTAGAGGCTGCCCTCGCTCCCGTGCAGGACACCTGCCCTCCTGACTCTGCGGGCTGGTGGGGGAGACACCAAGGACAAATGAGCCCGTGCGTCAGTGAAGAGAGGAGAAAAGGACATTGCTGTGACAGGAGAGGTCCGGGGGTGGCTGCTGCACCGCTGGGCTGGCATTCCTGCCCTGGTGAGGACCCGGCTTCTGTGTGACGCTCTGTTTCCTGCATGATGGGGTCCTGGCCTGGAACCTGCACTGGCTGCTAGAGTGGCTGTGGCCGGGGGGCAGCCTGAGGTGCCCTGAGGGGCATTGACTTTCCAAGCATCACAAGCTGCCTCTTCATTTGCCACTCAGACAAATGCATTCCCTAGAGCACATGCCATGTGCCTGGCCCTGGGAGACACATGCGAAAAAGCCCCACTGAGTCTGTAGTCTGGGGCAGGGCAGGGCGGGGCAGGGCAGGGTGGGGCAGGGCGGGGCATGGCACAGACAAACTGACAGACAGTTATGAGAGAGTCCACTAAGCCTATGGTGGGGATTAAGAAGGGGAGCCTGGGCCAGGCTATACATTAGTGCCCAGGAGAGTGGGTGTCCCCTGACAGAGCTTCTGGACAGGGAGCCCCCGGACACAGGGAGGGACTTGGTGCACACAGGATGCAGGAGGCTGAGGAGAAGGTGCTGTGGGTTGGGGTTGAATTCCTGTCTATATTGCATCCTCCATGAACACTACATTTGCTCCAAGAAAAACTGGAAAATTCCACAGTCCTTTGGAGAAGTTGTTAGGGCAACACAGTGTGCCAAAGATGAAAAAGTGGTAAACAGCCATTGTGCGGACTCTAGTGCCCAAATCCACCGTCCTGACTGTGCGGACCCTTGTTGCTAGAGGCAGGATGCCACACACACACATGAATGCATACACACACGCACGTGTACACACACCCTGCTTCACGCTCTTCCACCATAACAAGGTCCCTCAGATAACCTGGGATGCTGCTTAGCCATGAGCAGCTGTGTCTCAGGGAAACTGCCCGCAGTCCCCATCAACACCCAGGCCCTGGACATGTGCCAAAGGAGAATCAACAGCTGCTTTCAGGGGACTGTGGAATTGCGCAGCAAACCTGGGAACACCAGATTTGTGGTGCTCACACTGATTTAAAGCAGCTGATCAAGGGAGGCAAAACAACACCCCTGCATAAGGCCTGCTAGGGGCTGGCAGGAGGCTTCCGAGACCAGGGGCACTTGTTAGGATGGAGCCTAGTGGAGGCAACAGTCACAATTTCCAGTGACTCAAGGAAAAGCTGCTGCGGTGCCCCCTGACCATTTCTTTAATTCTGGTCATTCCATTTAAATTTTAAAATTTATTCTAAATTGCCCAAAGAGGGGCTGTAGAAAGTCTTCCTAAGCACGTGCTCATTCTCAAGCACATTCCTGATGCATCACCTACAAAACATTATTCAGATTTCCCCTTTAAAAGAAAGAGCCTGGGCTGTGTGGTCCCCAGCGGCCTGGGTGCAAATGAGCTCTGACGTCTGGCCTGGGAAGAACCTGGCTCCACCCCGCCAGGTGAAGGCACGCGGTTTCCCTGCCACTCATTCCTCTCTGAAAAACTGGCAGGTCACTGTGTTTTTGCAAAAAGTTTCCACACCATGGTTCTAAATTCCTCAGGATTTCTCCAGAGTGTACACGGAACCAGGTCCCCTCCCCCCAACAACGTTGCACAAGGTGGCAGGGATAAGATTAGGTGCTGTGAAATATCTGAGGTGTGGTATGAGATGAGAATACGAGGCCCTGCCCGGCATGCTGGTACAGGGCTGTGTCCTGGTCCCCAGGCCCCAGGGAGGCCCAGAGGATGGTGGACACCATGCCACTCCACCCACCCAGGGGCCCGGCACTTACACTCTCCCGCCTGTACACGGTGCGGATACAGCCGAGGGTGCTCCTGTAGCCGACACCAGCCTGCAGGCGAGTCTGTGGAGAGAGGGAAGGGCACAGAGATCATTCACATCCCCAATGCCCAAAAAGATGCCCAGGGAGGGGAAAGCCCTGACCAGAGAGACCCAGCAAGAAGGAGGTCTGGGTTTCAGTCCTGCTCAGGCTGGCGCTCTGCCCTCTGCATGTCTGCCTCCCACTCCTGCCCCGCTCAGACCTGCTCACACACGAGAAGCCCACTTTGCTGAGAAGGACAGAGCCAGCTAGTTGTGCAAAAATGGTGGTTGTCAGGGGAGGTGTGATCCTTGCCTCTTGAGGACAAAAAGTCTATAGAGCTTTGTAGAGCTTCATCTATAGCTCTACCCTGGCTGCTGTCTGCCCTTCAAAATGCCTCTGGGGGGCCTGCTCTTCTCACGCCACTTCCAGAGGCACCACCCTAGGCCACTCACCTTCACCCTCCCTGGGACAACGTCGTGGCCTCCTGCTTCTCTCACACTTCCGCCCTCTCTCTACATAGCAGTCAAACTGATCTTTGTCAAACATCAGAGAAGCTGGGAGCACTTCTGTTTAAAGTTCTCCAGTGGCCTCCATGCAAACTTAGAATATATTCCTCACTCTTTACCAGCACCAAGGAGGCCCTAGGGGGAGCCCGGCCTGCCTCTCACCCCTGTGTGCCATTGCCTCACCTGCCATATCCTCCATGTCCACCCCGCAGCATGTTCCCAGACCCTGAGCAGCCACTGTTCCCTGCCCGCAGGCCTTGCCTTCCCCTGGAAGGCTCTTTCCTCAGCTACTGCTTTTGAGTCTGAGCTGAAAGGTTGCGAAAATCCTATTTGATTATGCAGTGTTACCTTACTAAGGCAGGTCTCCTGTCTTACTTTCCTCTTGGCCCCAGAGCTGAGTGCAGACTGGCACAGTGGCCCTTCACCCTGGCTGTGAGAGGGATGATGAAGGCACAGTGATGGGGACACCAGCTGACAGGCACAGTGGTCTGAGTAAGCCCATCCAAGCACCCAGAGCACCTTCACCCTGGTCTCAGACCGTTCCACTTCATTTAAAATGTGCAGCCTATAATTCTCCACCAAAACGCCTCAGCATTCCCGGCAGGCCACAGCTGGAGAGGAAGGAGCTATGAGAGCCCCTAAAAGGTGATACTGGCCCTGTCCCCACAGAACCCAGTCAGCAGCAAGGAGCTGAGACCGGGGAAGCAGGCTAACTCTTCCCACAAACAGCCCAAGTTCAACTCCGCAGACCGATGGAGAAGGCCCTGGAAGAACACACACCAGAACAACAGCAGTCTCGGACTGAAAACCTCAGGGGATGTTTCTCTGCTTGGGAATTGTCTGCATTTTCCAACTTTCCTATAATAAGCAGGTGTTACTTTTATTATTTTTAGCTTATAGAGTTTTATCTTGCCCCTCCCGTGAGCTAATGACCGCAGCTAGTAGCATGAAAAAGCATTTAAGAAATATCCATCTAGTATTGCTAGAAACGGGGCAGTGTGTGGCATCACCCTGCTCATCAGTATTGCTCTCACAATCAGAGAAACCCAAGAGGAAAGCCTGGATCACAGAATAATTTCAAAGCCATGCAGAGCATTCAGGGAGGCTAGCACTGAGGCCAGCAGCAAAACTCAAGTCTCTAGAATCTTCCCCAATGACAGTAGGAGCTGGCATTTAGTGTGCACCAACTGCATACTAGGCATCTTATAGAATTATGTCACCAAACCCCACAAATTCTCTAAGGCATGGATGCCATCCTCATTTTACAGATGAAGAAAGCTGACTCCTTGCACCAGTTTCCTGTGGCTGCTGCAATAAATTACCGCAAACTTAGTGGCTTAAAACAACACAGATTTATTGTCCCACAGTTCTAGGGACCAGAAATCTGAAAGGGGTCTCAGTGAGTTGAAACTGAAGAGCCAGCAGGGCCACTCTCCCTGTGGAGGCTCTAGGGGAGAGTCTGTTTCCTTGTCTCTTCCAGAGTCTGGAGGCCCCCGTGTCACATTGCCTTTCTCTCCCTTCTGCTGTCACAGGCCCTCTTTCTCTTCTGCGGGAGGAACTCCAAATCTCCTCTGCCTCCCTCTCACCCAGACACTTGTGATTGCATTTAGGATCCTTCCAGATAATTCATCTCTCCATCTCAAGGGCCCCCGTTTAATCACACCTACAAATCCCTTTTGCCCTATATGGTGACATTCACAGGTTCCAGAGAGGCAGAACCTCCTGGGGGTCTTTATTCTGCCAGCCACACTCCTGCACACTGTTCTCCCAAGGGCCTGCCAGCCTGGACCACCTCCCTTCAGCTCACCCTCAAGGCCTATCGCCTGGTTGTAGCCATGATATTCCCACCAACCTCTGTCCCGCGGAGACCAAAGAAAAATCTAGCCCAAACTATTGACCAGGTATGACTGTCCTGCAGGTTGGGCTCTCCAAACTGTACACAGTGTTTGGCATACAGTAGGCGCTCAGTGAACACCTATGAAAGGAAGGGAAGAAGGAAGCAGTCTCCCCAGCCAGCCTCAGGGCCTTTAGTAATTAGGTAGAGCGGGGACTCTGCTCTACCAAGGTCCACAAACTACGTGTATTTGAGAGCTGACTCTGAACACAGATGCCCAGAGCCCTCATTTTGGACCTGGAGAATTATGGGCTCTGCTATTGTCTTTCTCACCCTTCCTGGTTATGCCAAATCAAGGCCATTTTAAGACTTGCTTAGATCTTGGACTCTGTTACTTTGTAAGCCTGTCCCATATCATATTAAGCATCACAAAACTACATATAACCTTATGTATTTAATGTACATGCCACGATCTACCTCAAAGTTGATTTGCATTTAACTATGTAACATAAGGTTCTGTTTTGTAAACATTTAGCGAAGAATTAATTCCACTTCGCACTTGTCTTCGTCTATAGTGTTTTCTCAGGTCTCACGCTTTCCTGGGTCCTGTGTGCACAGTGGAAGATCAGGACCCTGCACAGAACATTTGCCCAGCACTGATCCTCATATCAGGGGCACCATGAGCTCATGCTCCTCCAGTTCATGGTTTCCATCTGAAGCTCTCAGGAACCCAGAGGTAAAAACCCATGGACAGAGGGGTTTCCACCTCACCCAGGGAGTGAGATGGCTAGAGCCTCAATGCTGAGAGTCAGACCCCTCTCTGGCCTGCTCCCAAGTCCCCTGACCTGATAGATCAGGCCATGCTTTGGCTGTCCTGGGTCAACAGGCATGCCTGAGGTTGCACTGGGCAGTCAGGAGGCAGCCTGGAGTGACAGGGGTCACACCAGAGCAAGGCAAGAAGCCCTACTGGGATGTTCATGAGGGGGAAGCAGACACCCCCAAAGCCTGCCTATTGATACCCATCCAGGTGGTCTACAGGCAGTGAGCCCTGACCAGACTCTGGCCACCTTGAGGCAAATACACCCTCCTAAATGCACCAGCTGTGCTTTCCAGACCTGCAACAGGTACCCAAGGATAGAGGGAAGAGGCTTTGACATGGTCAGCAGCCCAGGACCTGATAGCTGGCTTATTCCACAGGCAAGCCCTGGGAACACAGGCAAGTCATTGATCTGCCCCCCTGCTCCTCACCCATCTGTCCATAAGGGCAGGGTCATCTCACTCACTGTTCTACCTCCAGTGCCTCTGTCATGAGCAGGCCTTATGACAGCTCCACCAGGGAGGTGCCCCCCTTATAGGCAATGAAATCGAGGCTCAGGCAGGTTAAGTGCTGTGTCCTGGGTCACAGGAGCACAGAGGATGAGGCCAAGACTGGATTTCAGCTTATTCATACTTGCCTGGGCCTTTCTCAGTGGGGCAGGGACTCTAGAGAAAATGCCAGCCAGAAGGAAGAAAGATGTTTCGGCATGCTACAGAGCCCTGCACCACACCAGGCTGGACCTGAGTCAGGCCATGTGCTATGCCAGACCATGGCCCAGCATGAGGGTCTCAGGCACAGAGGCTGAACCTTATGTCTTGGAAGTATCCCCTCCAATGGCCCACGGGACAGAGTTAGGAGAAGGAAGAGCACCCCCTTTCTCAGGCCACTGGGCTAGGCTTGCCTATACAGAGAGGAAGGGACCACTGCTCCCCTAAATTTCTCTAAGTGCAATGACTAGTGTCATTAAAAGGAGGGGCCGAGTTACACAGAGAGATGCAGGGGGGAACGCCACACTGAGACACAGGCAGAGGCTGGGAGACAGGCATGAGATGGCTGGTCCCTCGGAACCCCGGAAAAAAACCAACACCTTGAATTGGATTTCCTGCTTTCCGAACTGTGAGGAAATAAATTCCAGTTGTTTTAACCTACTCATTTTGGTAGTAATCCATTAGAGTGGCCCAAGGAAACTAATACATCCCCCCAAGTTTTTACAGTGAAATCTCTCCTACCTAATTCAACAACGGCATGGTCCTAACTCCTTCAAGTCAACCAGACTTAGAGACACAGTCACCCTTTTCTTTTCTGGGAGGACAGAGGTGGGACTGTGAGGAGCAGCTCCAGGTGTACAGCCGAGGAGGCCACTTGGAAGAATGACTGTTGCCTCTTGAGGTGTCCCCATGGCCCCCAGAGAGAAATTATATATCCCATTTCAATCAGAGAATTTTAAAAACATTCTCCAGCTTTGGTTAAAATCCTACTAGACATTGTCACATGATGTGGTAACTTAGATAAAATTAATTTATATGGAATAAAATTAATTTTTAATTTATATGGTAACTTAGATAAAATAGTAGTTACCTACTTTGAATGCCTGCTGGGTACCAGGAACAACTTTCTGATCTTTTATTTACCCTCTGAGCCCGAGATTAGTACCCTGTTTAATAAAAGGCCATGCAAACAGGAAATGGCAAAAACAGGATTCAGACCCAGAGCCTGCGTGGTGGTTCCAAAGCCTGTCTTTCTGGCTCAGCCACAATGCCCTTCAGTCCATCACACTGGATGGGTTTGTCCTCGAGCCCTGGAGAGGGCTGATGAGGAACGAGTTAGGTGAGTTTGGGAGAATAGAAGATGCTACGAATAATCTGCGCTTTCAAGGAGACATTAAAGACTATATCCAAGCCTTCCAAGTGTCCCCCACCCCCAGCCCTGGAGAAATACGTGGCTACATCCTGAGCTGGCTGAGGCCCAGGACAGCGTTTCCTGCACCAGACACTCACCCAGAGGTGTGCTCAGCTCTGTCTGTGCTAAGTTGTGCTCCAAACAGGGCTGAGTCAGAGGCCATGGGCTGAGGAAGTCCAGCCTGGGCAAGACACTAGCCACCTCCAGTGGAGGGCAGAGAGCTCAGTGGACATCGCAGCTACAACAGAGGTGAGGATGGTGTCTGAGAGCCTGGCCTGGCTTGGCTCTGGACAGCCCTGGGTAGTGCCTAGCATGGGCCCTGCCTTTGAACAGCAGTGACTTTCAGACACCAACTAGCTGCAGAGCCCTCTGTAGTGTGTGTTCATGGCCAGCAGGAGGCAGACAGTGAGGACCCGGGCCCATCCAGCAGCCCCATTCTCCCTGGGCTTCTCCCAGCACCTATATCACACCCCTGTGCACCTCATGACTCTCACTGCATACAAACCATCCTTCTTTGTTTTCATAGATGGGGAACATAGATGGAGACCTATTTCCACCCTTGGGCCTTTGCACTAGCTCGTCCTCCTGCCATAAGCGCTCTGACCCCAGGTCGGGGTATCTGGCTCATGATGCCATTTGAGTCTCAACTTAGCTGCCACCCTGCAGAGAGCACACCCTCCCCCTCCAGCCCCTGCTGTAGGGGAGTCCCTCACCACAGTGCTTAGTTCTATTGTCCTCATAATACCTGCTACTTCCTATAAATGTTTGTTCATTAATTATGTTCCCTAATTATTATGTACCACTGTCCTAAAAATATTTGTCCTCTCTCACTGCTGGATCCTCAGACCCTAGGTCAAATTAGGGCAGGTGGATACTGAACCATGGACAGTTGAGTGCCTGATGCCCCTCCCTCACAGTTGCCAGGCTGGCTCCACTGGCACCCCCCCAACCCCCTCCCCGACAATAGCACAACGAGGAGGCTTCTTGCCCAGCCCTGCTCGCTTCTCTCCACCACCTTCTCTCAGCCACTCAAATGAGTGCTTGGCATTTTGGCACTTCCTGACAAACCAGACTCTTTATCTTCTACCCAGGAGGCTCCCGGTGGCAGCAGAGGTCTGGGCCCTCCCTGGAGCAAACATACTCTCCTGGGGGCCTAAGATTGATTGCTGCCTCTGCTCAGACACTAGGCCCAAGGCCTTGCCCCCTTGCCGCCTTGCCCTAGGAATAAACATAGGGATTAGACCAGCCCTTGTGGCCCTCAGAAGCCCTGCCACAGAATTCCTTTATAAGATAAGCTTGTTTTTCATTTATTTGCAGCCCTACCCTGACTTCCTGAACCAGTGTCTCTAAGGAAGGTGGAACCTGGGACCCCCAGATAAGTCTGTTACACACTGGAGTCTAAGGACCTGAGGGGCTTCACCCATCAGGACCAGTTTTGACATCAGATAACCTAGCCTTCTGTAGTACAGAGTAGGTGTTCAATAAGTGATGAGCTCCTACGTGTCTGCTGACAATGACTGTGTGATTTCACCTTTTGCAAATCCAAGGCCTCAAGCTACTTCCTTGCTGTACATGTTTTCTAAAGTTTCCACATCTTGTGGAAATAGCCACAAAGCATTTACCTGGTGAGGGCCTAAGAACCCCCTCTCTCTCTGCAAGGGCCCCTTGAGAACTGAGCCCTGGCACTCCAGCTCTTACCAGCTCTTATGCTCAGAAAAGGGGCTGGGGAGTCTGGGCAGGCAAGGCTCACCAGGATAGTGCCAGCCTTGGCATCTGCAGCAGCCCTGGCACCCTTCCCTACACACCAGGCCTCCTGTGTCCCAACTCTGCATTCTTCCAGGATCCTCTGTTCTGGACTCCTGGGCAGCCTGAGGAGGAGGCATAGTCCTTGGCAGCTTCAGCACAAACATCTGAGGATCTCAGCCAGCCATGGCAAGGCGTGGCCTGGAGAATGATTTCCAAAGCTGAAGCCACCCCACAGCTCAGGACCATCCACCGTGGCTAAGAGCATGGTGGGGGTTATCCCCCAGAGCGGATCAGATAGGGCAGCTGCAAAATCATGCTTTTTTTAAAAGCTGCTCTGGAATAAACTTCCTTCATTCAGGGAACAACTATTGGGCCTGTGTGTTCCAAGGGCTCTAAATGTAGAGAAGGCACTGACCAGTGAGGCAGACAGACCAGGTGCAAGTTCACTGTGGGGCTTTGAGCCCCAGAAGTACCCAGATCTGAGGTCTGGGGCAGGTTCCTGAACACTGTGCCTCACTCTCCTCCTGTGTGAAATAGAAGATTATAGCTTCCCAGAGGCTTAGACCAAGTCTGCTTCTCTTACCACGGTGTGTGCCCATCTCTCAGCACTGGGCCCTGCCCACCATCCCTTCAGGTTGTGGCCTCCTCTGGGGACCCTGAACAGCCCCTTTACTACTTAAGGGAATTTCTTCCAATATTTAAGACAAGATCTCTTGAAGAAGAGAGTAGGCCTGGGCCCTGACCTAGGAGGAACCCAGTTACCATACAGGGTGGGAGGTAGAGAGAAAGGGAATTGCAGGAGCCACTTGCAAGTTCCTCTGTTCTGGACTCCAGAAATTGAGAAGGGTCTTGGAGGTCACCTTTTGTGCACAATCCAGGCAGAGCTCTAGAAAAGGATCTGGACGTCAGTCGAGGGCAAGGAGACACCATTTATGGCCATGTGCCCCGTGCATGGCTTTGAGTCCTGCTCATCACTGGAGTCCTTGGCAGGGGTAGGGGTGGGGATAGGGGTCACAGAATGCTTCTTTGTAGCATCTCACTCCTCAGTTTTAACTGAGACAAGCCCCTTCCCCTCTCTCAGAAACATCCCCAGAACAAGGAAGTTGGGTGGTCACAATGCCAAGGAAGTCTTGCTGGCTCCAGAGTGCTCCCATGTGCTTCATCAAGCTATGATGAGTTCCCATTTCCAACCTATATCCTAAGGCCCAACCTGGCATTTAAGTCCTCTGAGGACAGAGTACTGTCCTGCCTTTCCTGGTTTCTGATCCTTAGCTGTTATCGGAAACCTAGTGCATGAGTTACCCCTGCCCAAGACCCCCATCTCAGTGGCTCTTCACGCAGCTCCCCTGAAAACCAGCCCTAATCTGGGGCTGAGACACCACCTCACACTCAAAGCTTTTCCTGATTCCTCAGTTCTGCAGGACTCTTGAGGAGGACACCTGCCAGGGCCCTAGCCCCTCCCCAGCCAACTCATAAGAACCTGCATGCAGGGGCAGGACATTCACAAAAACAACATCACTTCTAAGGAATGAGGGTAGAGCTGCTCCAAGTACCCCACCTCTTAAGCTGGCAGCAGAGAGCCTGGGCAGAAGGCTCTCTGGGGTCAGACACAGCAGATACAGTCCCAGAGGCAGGCTGGAACCAGGCCTCTTTCCAAGAGATGGTGGGAAGCATGGCTACTGTACCTTGACTGTGTCCAGAGGGTGGCCAACGATGACACTGGCTGCACCTATGGATCAAAAGAGAATACCCGGTCACTCAGCCCTTGGACTCCCAGTTTGTACCAGCTGGCTCTATGGACAGGACAGAGGGCTCAGGCACGTGCATTCACTCCCTCAGCCAATGACTAGTCACTGGAGGGGGACTCAGTGTATTGGGCTTTGGCTCCGGGCACCAAGAAGAGACAGAAAAAAAAATGGAGAAAAATCTGGGCTCTGCCTTAAAAGGCAAGCACCTCCCCCCCCCCAAAAGGCGTAAAGGGACTGAGACAACTGTGTATTGGGCAAAGGAAAGGAGTGAGATCCCTACCTTACCCCCCCCCCCCACAGAATTTACTCAAAGCAGCTCAAAGACCTAAATGAAAAAGCTGAAACAGTGAAACTCTTAAAATAAAACACAGGAAAAATTTTTAAATGGGCTGGGATTTGCAACAAGCTCTTAGATATAACACCAAACACACAAGTAACAAAAGACAGAATAGATAAATTGGACTCATAAAAACTGAAAACTTCTGAGCATCGAGGGACACTATTAAGGAAGTGAAGACAACTATCTCCTATAGAAAGGGAGAAAATACGTGCAACTCATGTATTTGATCGGGTCTAGTATCCAGAATTTATTCTTTAAAAGAAAGAAAACTCTTAACAACTATAAGAAAACTTAATGGCCAAAGAACTTAAACAGACAGGTTTGTGGAGGAGATGTACAAATGGCCAACAAGCAAGTAAGCATGCCCAGCACCATTCATTAGTCTTTAGGGAAATGCACATCAAAACCACAACGAAAGCCTTCTTCGCACCCACTAGCATGAGTATTATTTTAAAAAAAGAAGAAAAGTTTAGGCACGATGTAGAGAAGTTGGAATTCTTGTACATGGCCGGTGAAAATGTAAAGCAGTGCAGTCGCTGTGGAAAGCAGTCTGTCAGTTCCTAGAAAAAGTTAAACAGGACCCTGTCATTCCCCTCCTAGGTATATATCCAAGAGTTGAAGACAGACATTCTGACAAGTTCATGTACACAGATATAACCCAAAGGTGGAAACAACCCAAATGTCCATCAACTCATGCGGGGATAAACAAAACGCAATATCTCCATACAAAGGATTTTGTTCTGAGAGAAAAACAAATTATTGATGAAGCAACATGGATGAACCTCAAAAAATATTATGCTAAAAAAAAAAGACCAGACACAAAAGGCAGCATGATAAGCTCGACCCTCATTCCTCGGCAGTGATGTTGTTTTTGTGAATGTCCTGCCCCTGCAGGTAATTCTACCTTAACAAATTACCGGACAGAGGTAAATCCACAAAGACAGAAAGCAGTTAAGGGCACCAGGGCTGGGAGAAGGGGGAAGTGGGAGTGACTATTTACTGCGAGCAGGATCTTCCTGGGTGATGAGGAAAATGTTTGGGAACTGAGTGGAGGTGAGGTTTGCACAACACCGTGGATGTACTAAATGCCACTGAATTGTACACTTTAAAGTGGTTAAGTTGAATCATGTGAATTTCAACTCAAAAGGGGAGGTGGGGCATGTGTGAAGAGAAAACCCAGGAGGGGGTGGAGGGCCTGGAGGCTCCCTAACTTCCCTGGGCCTCACTGTCAGCAGGTGTAGAGTGGGAGAGATGATAGATAGCAGGGTTCCACTGTGAGAGGGAGACCAAGTGATGAAGGTGAAGTGCCTCGCAGAGGGCCTGAACTTCTAGGATGCTCCAAAAGGAGTGCCAGCACTATAGAATTTTTAAAAAAGAAGACCCCTTTGGAGAGGTGATGAGTATGTTGTAACTTTTCACAGAAAAATATCTATCCACACACATCCTCGCAAGGCCTGTACAGTTTAGAGGGCCACTTAGATTAAGATGCTCTTGCTGTAGAAGCCGGTGAGTGAGATTGAAACAGGAGCTGTTCTTTAAAGACAAATGCCCCAGCACACTGATGAAGAAGGCCATGTGGCTGCTGGCAGAAGTGATTTAACCAGGTAAGGCAGGAAAGGAGTCCTAGACTTAGATATTAGAGAGACCAGTTAATCTCAGAACGTCGGTTCTCTGAGTCCAGAACGTCCTGTGCCCTGAACGGGGCAGAGGCAGAAGTGATGGGCCACAGAAGCTGAGCCTTCCACAGGCCTAAGGGAGCTCCCCCCGCCCCCCACAGGAGCCCCTCCCAGCAGGGGAGGAAGGAGCTCTGGTCCCCAGCCAGAGCCGCAGCCTCAGATCCAGCCTTGGTCAACACCTCCCTGCTCAGCCATTTGCCCGCCCATCTGAAAGCAGGAATGTGAAATTAAAAAAAAAAAAAAAAAGGGATTTTCAGGTCAGTGGTTTCCAGACCTTAGGACTTCACAGGCCAGTACAATCTCTAACTAGATGTGGAGGATGGAAATAGGAAAAATTTTGTCAGGGAAGGGAGTTGGGAAAGAACACAAGTATAAACAAGAAGAGGAGTTGAGATGCAGCCCCTGGTGCCGGGTGGCCTGGATTGGAGCCCCAGTGCCAGATATGCGGCCTTAGGCAGGTCAGTGAATTGCTCTGTATCTTAATTTTCTCATCTGTAAAGTGGGAATGAAACAGTAGCTACCTCACTGGAGTTGCTATAATAATCAGAGAAATATGCACAAACAGACAGAAGAGACCACATGTTGCAGGACTCAGCTTATATATATAATATCCAGGAAAGACAAATGTATGGAAAGGAGTGGTTGTTCAGGGAGAGGCAAGGAGAGAGGGCTCAACTGTCAATGGGCATGTCTTATTAGGGGATAAAAATGTTCTAAAGTTAATTTGTGGCGATGGTTGCACCACTCAATAAAGTCATTAAAAGTCATTGAGTTGTACACTGAAATTAGTGCATTTTATGATATGTAAAATCAACTTCAATAAAGTTGTTTTAAAAGAATATATATAGCATTTAAGCAGGAGTTGGAACCTAGTAAGTATTCAGTGTTACTACACTTAGCATCATTTCATGACAGAAAAAAAAAAAGGCACATTGATATTCAACTAAGCAAGAATAATCTCAGAATATCAGAATAAAGGATAATTCCCTACACTATGTGAGTTGTGAGTTATGAGTTGGGGAGGGTCCACGAGTCATCACCTTGGAGGACGGGGGGATCTCTATCTGATCACAGGCTTAGAGCTATTCTGACTCAGACCCACCCTCCAGAGCATTTCTCAAACTATCCCATTTGCAGCCTTACTAAAGCACGTTTGGTGACTTGAGGGGCAGCCCACAGAAGGTTCTCACCTTCCAAATGGTAGAAGAGGACCTGGATATGCCCAGCCAGCCTCAGGCTGCAGTCCCCTGAGAGAGACAGGTCTCAACCCAACCCAAAGGTGCCTTTGCCAACAGAATTGGCTACTGTAAAAGGAGCCACCTCTGCTCAGGAAGGTGTGAAGCAGGTGGGGACAGAGAGGTGGCCTCCTGCCAGGTGAGGGGCATGACCGGGATGTATTCAGTTTGCTGCTCTTTTCATCCTATCTTTTTTCTTTGGGGAGGGGCTGCATCTGTCCTCCTTAGATGGGTCAAAAGAAAGATATTTCTTTTTTTACAATTAGCAAAGTCCCTTAAACGTCCTCACACATAGCTGAGAGAGGAGGGAAAGGCCTTTTGGAAAGAAGGATGCAGAAGAGAGGAAATGAATGCAACCTCTGCCCAAGCACCCCATCCAGGCCCACGGAGAGGGTGCCTGGGAGCGGTGGCGAAGGGCCACCAGTGCTGGGAGGAGGCGTCTTGGAGGAAGGTGATGATTGACCGCTGCCAGGAGACCTGAGGGGTTCTTCCCAGCTGTCAACAGGCACCTGCAGCCTGAGCGCTGCTCCCTTCTCGGGGCGCTCCATCGGCTTTCTCCAGACCCTGCACCCACTACCCTAGGGCCGCCCAATCCCGGAGCTGGGCTCCCCACCACCCTGCATCCTGAGGCCAGCTGTCAAGCGCCACCCTCACACACGAGTTCCCCAGCCACGTTCCCAAATTCAGGTGCGCTCCAGGACACCGAAGGGTGTGTGCACTTCGGGAGGCTCCATTGGCTGTGTGCTTTGACCAGCTGTTTAATCATTACCAGATCAAGTTCCGCGGGTCCTGATTTTGAGGCACATCGGAAGCACAGGGTGAATGGCTGAGAAGCTCTTAGCGTTTTTCAGCTCCGCAGTAGACGAGGAATTCCAAGACCACCCGAGACAACCCGGTGCGCACGCCGAGCCGCGTGCTGAGAGCCCACAGTGCGCAGAGCTGCCTTACCGGGAGCATCACGTGCAAACTCCGCTCCCGCAGCGCTTGGTCTCGGGTCGGGGGTTCCCGGTAAGCACACTCACCTCCGATCCAGCCGGCAGCAAAGTCTTCCAACTGGAAGCTGCCCATGGCCGGTGCCGCGCGCAGCCTTGCCCTTCCCCAGCCGACCTGGGGCAGTGCCCACTCAGTGTCTGCGGGGCATGGCCCGCGGGCTAGAGCGCGGGAGAGGTAGAAAGTTGGAGACTCCGAGCGCGCTGCAGGTCCTACTCCAACCCAGTCTCCAAGTCACCAGCCGCGGGCTGCAGCTCACCTAAGTGCCTTCGGCCCGCTGACATCACGCCCCCAGTGGACCTTAAAGGCGCAGCACATCCCAAGCCCAAAGATGCAAGGGTCACCCAGTAAAATTAATTCCTTTAGCCCTCCCTTCTCCAACCAAGTCCGCCTCAGTGACTTGTGCCCAGAGCAAATGCCTCAGGGGCCCAGTGTCTTGTCTAACATTCAGCTACAGCCACAGCTCCCCAGGGGTCCAGCTCCTTACACGTCCACCTGGGGCAGGTGAAGGCAGAGATATGGGCCACTCTACTTCAAACTTCCTCTCTGTTGCCTACTCTGCACCCAGGCTGGCCTCTAGCTGGAGTCCCCTGCTCTCTGCGACACAGGGCCTTGCTGTGTGGAGGGGCTTTCGTTCCAAAGGGAGCATCTTGTCCCCCTTATGGTCTTGGTCCTGGGAAAAGGACATAGTGTCATTTGGCATCCTGCTAATTCCCATCAGGGACTCACTTAGGGACCCTGTTGCAGGTTGGGAGTCCCAGTTCCCCAAACTCATTTGACTTGGTTCTATTCTTGGCTGAGCTAGAAAGTTCAACCCAGGGCAAGAAAGCAAAAGTGAGTGGAAACTGAAAATAAAACTGGAGCGGCACGGGTGGTGTGGACAGAAAGTAAAAGGAACCGACACCAGTTTCAGGGTAACACATTTTATTTAGGAAGAAGAGGAAGTTTGGAGCGCTTTCAAAGAGAGTTGCCAGTGGTCTCTTCTCTTGGAGGAGAAAAGGTGGGAGATGCCATATTTATCCTGCAGTATAAATATTCTCTGTTTGAAATTGGTTGCAAATCTTTCATTGGCTCTCTGCGCTTCAGGGCAGTATTGCCCTTTCCCATTGGTCATTGATGGTCTCTTTCTATTGGTCATTGGTTACCTAGGTTACTTTGTATCCATATTCTCACCAGCCTTCCAAATGTCCTGGCTCAGCAGGGCACGTTTTCCTCACACTCCCTTGAAGCCCCTTTCTAGTTCCTTCTCAGGCTCCAGCCAAGACTCCCCAGGGTTGACAAGAATGGTGAGGGGTATCATCTGGAGGAGGGGGTCTCTATGGGTCTGTTCTTGTCCCAACTGGCACATCCATGTCATACCATCCAGGCTAACATGCATCAGCAGCCTCTCCCTTTTAAAATAAGATAGGGTCTGACCACCAAAAATTGATCTTAAAGGGGCCTTCCCATTGAGGAGTAAAGACTTGGATGTGAAGGGTCCCTCCTGCAGACCCGTGTCCCTCAGGTACACAGAGCATGGACCCTGTATCTGGGTGAGAGAAGCAGAGCCAGCCCTCTGAGGATGCAGTCACAAGCCTGGCTGGCAGGGAGTTTGCAAAGTCCCATGGAGGAATGGATATCTCATACTCACTCCTGAGTCTCAGATTCTGGCGCACATTGTGACCCTCTCAGCCTTGAGGCTTTGGAGTTGCCATCTGCACTCCCCTTGAGCCTAGTCCTGCCGTGCTCGGATACATGCCTGGGTCAGTTATAAGAAATGAATAGTTTCGAAGGGTGGCCCTTCAGTGAGCTCACCACTGGGGAGAACCCACAAGTGGAAGGGAAGCTTGCCAATTCCTATGGGCTGGTCTTTTGGAAGGCCACCTTAGGAGTACCAGGAAGAGTGTCATTCCTTCAGTCTTATGTCAACACCAATTAGGAAGGTCCTGAGTTGGCAGGCAGTGTCCCTGGCAGCCCAGGATGGCCTCCTGAGCCCAGAAAGTTGCTGTTTAGACTGCTAATGATCTGGAGCAGAGCTGAAGGAGTGGGCTTCTCTCCAGAATGGACCATTTTTTTCTATTCCCAAACATGTGCCACAAATCTGCCCATGAGGCACATTACCCAGGGAGGCACGGGGAGGCTGTCAGGTTTAGCAGAACTGTGGGCTAGACTAGGAGAATCCCAGACCACAGAGCTGTGGGCCCCAGCAGAATGCTGGCTCTGAGGATGGGATCTGGGTGGATCTTTCTTCCTGGCCTCCCCACTTGGGAGCAACATGCCAGTGCTGCCATTCCCATTTGTATTCTACCCTCGGGAGAGGGAGTGCAGCTTCTGACCATTATACAGGGAAGAAGCTCTGCACAGAGAGCAATTCCCTGTGTAACTAGGAAGCCTCATGTCTTCCCCTACCCCTAGTTCCTTTCCTGAAGGTCATCTCTCGGAGCACTTCCCCTGCAGTAGGGCGAGCACATGGGATATGCTGACAGCTTTGGAGTAGGGGCCCATTTTCCTTTTTTTTTTTTTTTTTTGAGACAGAGCCTCAAGCTGTCCCCCTGGGTAGACTGCCATGGAATCACAGCTCACAGCAACCTCCAACTCCTGGGCTCAAGTGATTCTCCTGCCTCTGCCTCCCAAGAAACTAGGACTATAGGTACCCACCACAACACCCAGCTATTTTTTGGTTGCAGCTGTCATTGTTGTTTGGCGAGCCCAGGCCGGATTTGAACCCGCCAGCTCAGGTGTATGTGTCTGGCACATTAGCCACTTGAGCCACAGGCACCGAGCCCCACTTCTCATTTTTATTTGCCCTTTCTGGCAACAGAAATTTCCTAGGAATGAGCCTGCACTAGTCCCGGCTTCTGGGAAAGTGTCTGTTAGAAAGGAGGGAGTCTGTCTGGGATGCCACAAGGATATGTCATGAGAGCACTAGACAGGGAGTCCACTACACTCTAAGAGGAAGTCAGGGAAAGCTCCCCAGACCTGGATTTCCTGCCTGCACTCTGAGTCTATCCAGACCCATGCTTCCCCCTCCTCACCACGCTCTCAGCCAAGCCCGAAGTCCCCTCCTTGTGCTCACCTGCTATACCTGCGCAGCAAAACCCTGGGCTGCTCATGCCTGGCCTGCTGTGCTGTGCTGAAGGCCCTGCCCTTGTCTCTTGCTCCACTCCACTTCTGGGAGACTGCCTTGCCTGGCTATTCTCTCCTTCCTCTAGCTGCCATCTCATCCCCTGGCACCTGGCTCCTGCCCATCTTTGGGTGGAGGTTCCTTGGGGACCCTTATCTCAACCACTACCCATCCACACCCCCATATCTCAGCTCACGACCTCCACACCTTGCTTTTGGGCCCACAACCTCTTTTCTAATCAACAACTCCACCTGGACGGCCCCTTGTCATCTCTAATACAGAAGGTCTCTTGATGAAATCTAACTCCCAAGGTGTTTTTCCTCAGACCTTCTTCAACTTAGAGAAATGTGCCTCCACCCAGCTGGCCCCCAAACTAGAAACTTGGATGCCATCCTCAATCCCCTTCTTTCAGGCCCCATCCCCTCAGTCTTGGCACAGGGAAGCCTCTTCAGACCCCTCAGTGGAGGTCAAGAGCTAATTGCCCTTCCTCCAGGCACCCCAGCAACTCCTTCCAGCTCTCACCATGTTGGTCAGTCCTTGTGCAGTACGTAGTTGCTCCAGGAGGTAGGACCCAGCTGACTTGTCCCCCACCACTGTATTCCTGGGCTCTGCTCCAGAGCAGATGGACTTTAATTACTGATGGTCAAGTGGGAATGATGAGACAGGACCACGCGCACGTGTTGCATTTCTCCCTGGGCATTTGTACCTGCTGCGTCATTCCTGCACTGCCTCGGAAAAGAACAACTCCGGGGTCCCTCCCTCACTCTCGCGGGAAGGAGGAGCACATGTCATGTCCAAGATGCTACGTGCTCATTCGGAGCAGGCTTGGGAATGGCATTTCCTACTTTACTGGCAGCGCTTTGAGAAGGTATGTTCAGCGCATGTGCAGACTAAATTTGACGCTTGAAGGCAAGAAACAGAGACAGAAGCAAGTCGCTGTGAAGTGAGGGGCGAAGCAGCTGGCAGGAAGGCTGGGCTGCCTGAGCTCTGGTCCCGGTGCTGCTGCTCACTCACTGGGCACCTTGGGAAAATCAAGACTTCAGTTTCCTCCATTGTCTTTCACAAAGATAGGGATGATCCTCTCTTAGGGAGTGTTAAAGAAGTCTGAAATTCTGCGCCATGGAGGCACCGGCTTGTGCGTGTCTTGTCAAGATGTGCCAGAAGAGGGCGCTGCCGCACAGCAGTTGGGGCTCTCAGACCCAAAGAAAGTGTGACAGCCCCCTCTTGACAGTTTCCTGGCCCATGCTCCCTGGCACTGGCTGGCAGAAAGCCAGACTCACTAGATACTTGGGCAAAGAAAGAGACACTGTCCCAGGAGGCTCAGAGAAGAGTATGATGATGCCAGTGAACATCTGAGAGATTGATGAGGACCCATCTGAGGCATCCTGGGAACTGTGTGCTTGGAGAGCACAGTGCCCCAATAAGGGGAGGTGACACCCTGCTCTTTTTGCCTGCCTGGATTTATCAAAACTTCACACGTTCCATACTCTTTCCCTCCTCAGGGCTCTGTGCTGGCAAGTGCTGTATGCTGTCTTCATGCCAACTCACTGAATGAGGCAAGTCCCCATTGTACAGATGAAAAAAAGGCTCAGGAAGGCTAAACAACTTCTCCAAAGTCAGCTGGTGACTGTAAGGTCATGGGGTCACATCTACTGTCTGACTCCAGGGTCAAGCTCTCAACTAAGTGCTGCCTCCAGACCAAGACTAGGGAAGTGGTGGTGACTTTCCCAAAGCCCATGCCCCCTCTGTGTAAATGTCTTAACTCCTCTGCCTCAGTTTCTCCACTATCAGGGAGATGGTATTGACATTGCCCAACTGTGTCATACTGTTTGAGCTCCTGGAGCAGATGATTCAGTAACCGGTGGGAAAACTACCTTCCCCACACACCTTGCCAGTGTCCCGGGCTGCCCTCTGTCCTCTCTTCCCTGAGAGGTCCTACACGCTGGGCTGGCTCTCTGGACAACTGAGAACAGGGCATGTCTCGTTCTCCTCTGCCTGTCTTCTCAACTGATGGACACAAGTGGACTGGTGCTGAGGACAAGGAGGGGCCAGACAGGTCAGGGGACCAGGTCACCTGGGCTGCAGAGATCCAGAATTGAGGGGCTTCTGTGAGAGAAGCAAACACGGAGGGCAGAAGGAGACATTGCTGCTG